CTCCCTTTTATCCCTTGCTGAATTGTGTTCTTGAAAATAACATTTTAATTATGTTTTCTCTTTTTCATGTGGACAAGGTAGCAGCCTCTGTGAGCCTTGTGTCTCAGGACTAAACCCCACAGCTTCTCACTTGGAGTTTAGGGCAAAATTCTCCAGCCATGCTCCTTCTGGTTACCTTGCAATGCACCTACTGGTATAGAATGTTCAAGAAAGGCCAGAAAAAGCACGTTAAAATGAATCAACTAATTCTTTTCAAAATCCATGAATTTTAAATATACATTTATTTGCACATCACATGAATGCTGATGTTTGCCTTATACCCTCTCTTATATGTACATTTTTCTTTCCATTCAGATAATGAAAACTGTTCAAATTAAGAAGTCAGAGAAACATAGATGTACTATTTTCTATATACAATTATGAATTTTACTGGTTCATGCCTGTAGACTGTGGCTTTTTAAAAACCCAGTACTGTCTTACATCAGAACACAGATGGAAGCCCTAAGCCTGTGTTCATCTCAGCCCTGTCACTCACTAGCCGTGAGAACTTGGGCAAGTTGTGTAGTTTCTCTGTGCCTCAGTTTCCTAATCTGAAATGGAGATAATATCAGTACTAATTTCATGGGTTGGTGCAAGAATTACATAAATTAATTCCCATCAAGTGCTTAGACCAATGCCTGGCATACAGGTACACCACATTATCATTAAGCCACGGAGCTTGCTGGGAGCAATGGTGAGCACATAGATCTTTAAGTCTCTCTTCACAGAGACCCTGGTGGCTATTTATAAGCACGGGGCTAGCAAAATAGCTCCTTCCCCAAATGTTAATGATATAGGAAACATCCAGCTGGACTCCCCAGTCTATAAACTTTTTTATCTTTAGGCTCTTTCTGACTGTTCTTCATCTCAGCTCAGTTTCTGAGTCCCCAGATTTTACTTTCACACTGTCTTTTAAATGACTTGCTTTGCTTCTATTCTAATTGGCATCTCTGTAGTTCCAACACTCATTTTCTCAATTTTGGCCTAGAAGCCTTCTAGCTGAGCTACTCATTTCCATTCCTTTAGCAGTCCAGAACCACCAATGACTCCCTACTGTCCTTCGTGGCACTCTAGACCCTCCCAACATGGCTCACACCTGTGTTGCCTCCTTCCCCATCATTTCCCTACATTCACCAGTCAAATTGGGTTACTTGCTGTCCATTTATTCTTTCATTCAGTCAACACTTCCTAAAGTACTTTCCAAAAGTTTGCTATAGAGTGGAGAAATAGACGCATGCCATTAAATCCTTGCATTAAAATTCTAGGATTGCAACCCAGATTACTAAACGCAGTGCAGAAAGTGCAATGAACCTTGCCTGGAAGAGGAGTGAGGGGTCGTGGAAATCAAGAAGGGTGAAGAAAGGATCAAGTGCTATGGGAAGAGCTTTTCTTTACAGGTTTATTGATGTATAATTGAAGTATAATAAACTGCACACGTTTAAAGTGTGCAAGTTGATAAGTTTTGACACCCATGAAACTATGACCACTGTCAAGAGAATGAACACATCTATCACCTTCCAACATTTTCTCCTGCCCCTGCTCCCTCCCTTCCCAGGCAATTTCTCATCTGCTTTCTGTCACTGATGGTTAATTTGCATTTTCTAGAGTTTTATATAAACAAATTACACATTGTGCGCTCTTTTTTTCATCTGACTTCTTTCACTCAGCGTAATGAGATTCATCCAGTTTTAGTATGTATTAACAGTTTGTTCCGTTTTCTTGCAGCGAAGTATTCAATTGCAGGTATATACCATTTTTTTTTTTCATTCATTTACCTGTTGATGGACATTTGGATTGTTTCCAATTGTTGGCTATTCCAGTAAAGTTTCTATGAGCACAGGAATGTATGTCTTTGTGTGGACATACACTTTCATTTCTCTAGGGGTAATACCTAAGAACAAAACGTCTGGGTCATATAGTAACTATATGTTTTACTCTTAAGGAACTGCCCATTTTCCAAAATGGTTGTATCATTTGACAGTGCCTCCACAGTCATGCATGAAACTCCCAGTTGCTCCACACAAGAGGGTTTTCTTTGATAAGGTAATTGCAGGATGGTAAAAGTATGTGTGATTTTTCAGAGAACATCCAGAACATCAGTCAGAGTGGCAGAAGCAATTGAGCAAGTTGAAAGATGGGATGGGTGATAAAGGAGAAATTTTGTTCTAGGCCAGCTTCTAGAGGGCTTTGGTATTTGGAGAGTGCATTCCAGGCGATGGAAACTCATTGAAGGCTACATCTTCTGTCTCTGGACATTCCATGAGGTTTCCCACCTTTAGGCTGTTCTCTTCCTCATGCTGCTCCCTTCCTTTGAACATATCCATCTGTCATGTTGGTAATATCTACAAAAAGTTCAAGACCCAACTGAAATGCTACTTTGTCTTCCAGTTCATCCTCAACTGTGAGTTTCCTTCACCATTCCTTTGAACTTCACCCATGGCCCTGAGTCACTTTTGCCTCCAATCACAGGGGAGTGCCCTATTCATCTGAGGTCTCTGGTGGCAGAGATGGTGGCTCGTTCATGCAACATCACCCGCAAGACCAATCCCTTTAGGAATATGTATCTCTATACAAGTTTCTTTTGGTCTTATTTTTATGCAAAGTCCTAACTAAAGGAACATTTTGAATCAAGGAAGGTATAAATCTCATTGCTCATTTTGCCAAGACCAAAATGAGAAGATGTGGACTGATTCCAAAGAACAAGAACAATTACCTTGCCTCTCTCCCAGCTTCATTGGCTTAACCATTTCATGCTCTATCCTTTGCTCTTTTATGCGCACCAGGTCTCCCTCGCTCAAGTGGGGCAAATTATGTAATTAGCGAAAGAGCAACAATTTTGCAGAGAAAATGGTTATGTGCTTATGAAAGTTCAATAGCTTAAAACATCCAAGGAAACCATTTACTGGGCCTAGAGAAAGAAAGCAGAACTGGACCCTGGCAGAATTAGGGATAGCTGGGAAGTACTCACCAGAAAGAAGACCATTCTGAGGAACTGCCCCAGTGCCTGGTGCCCATCCTTGCTGGGCCTTAAAGCCCATCTCTCTCTCTTCTGTGTTGATGTAGTGCAAAGTAACCAGCAACAGCAGAGAGTTCCCAGGAAATGGCACATGTGTGACTTTAACTGGCCTGATCAATGATCTTTGCCAGATTTACATCCTCTTCACCTCTTTTCCCAGTTTTCCACAAGACTTCAAGTCATTAGAGAACACTGAATGTAATTGTTATTCTTGGAAAATCTGTCAGGATATCCAGGGGTCTCAACTATGCCTTTGCCTTCAATTGTTTTTTTATTTTTTGAGACAGAGTTTCACTCTGTCGCCAGGCGCCAGGCTGGAGTGCAGTGGCGCAATCTCGGCTCACTGCAACCTCAGCCTCCCGGGTTCAAGCAATTCTCCTGCCTCAGCTTCCTGAGTACCTGGGACTACAGGTGCGCGCCACCATGCCCAGCTAATTTTTGTATTTTTAGTAGAGATGGGGTTTCACCATCTTGGCCAAGATGGTCTCGATGTCTTGACCTCGGGATCCGCCCACCTTGGCCTCCCACAGTGCTGGGATTGCAGGCTTGAGCCACCGCGCCCGGCCTCTTCAATTGTTTTAGCAGCTGGACAGGGCTATCAATAAGACATGTGTGTTTTATTTTGGAACATGCAGTTTGGTTTGCTATGATGTCAAGGTGCTTAAATTTCTCTGTGCCTACCCAGACTGGCAGGTGCTTCTAAATTCTAGTCTCAGTTCAGGAGGACATTCTTTCCCGAGAATGCCATCCTTACTTTAGTGTATGTGTTGGCCAGGGAAAGTGCTAAAACACTTGGGTCAGGAGCTTGGCTACTTTATTTTTCAAACTGCCTTTATTTTTTTAAAGTTCTATGGTTTTGACATTGAATCGATATCAGGAAAATACCAGAGGCCACTGCTACGATTTGCATTTCATAATGTGTTTTCTACTCTTTGAAAGTGCACTAGACTGTGGCGGAGTGTTCTCTGGGGTCTTTTCTGTCAACCTTAGCTGGGCTATTGCTTGGCTGCCTGGTTTTGTCTGCCATCAGCATTCCTGATCAAGGTGGCAGAAGGATGAGAGGGGAACAAGGCAACTTGAAACGTCCCCTCCTTCAGAATAGTCAGAAGGAGTGAGGCTCATGCGTTTAGCTGCGGGCAGGCACGAGGATTCTAGATGAGAAGACTGGTAGAGACACTTCTTCACTGTCCTGAAGCTGCGTGAGCATTCAATATAGGACCCCATCTGTTTTGTTAAATTGACAATTTCCTTTAGCAGGAAATCAAGGTTCGAACTGAGTTTCAGACTAGCTACAGAGTAAGAAATAGCTTCACTTTTTAAAGGCTTTGCTTTTTAAGACATTCAGCATGTAACCTAATTTCATTTGATAGGGGTTGTTTTTCCCTTCTCCATTTGCTGCCTAGAAATGTGTTTCATTATCCCCTGCAGAATTGGAGTTGGGAGGGAGCGCAGGAGAGTTTGTTCTCTGGGCCTCAAAAGCAGTAAAAATTAAAATAAAACAAGATAAAATAAAATTAAAATAAATCACAAGAAAAGCCATCCCAGTGATTTGCTGTCGTAAGCACGTCATACTCAACAGCTGTACTACTGAGGAATACTGGCTGGATCTCTTCAGTTTCCACTTCAGAAGCACAGAGAGAACACCAAACTCAAAAGAACAAAAGATGACACATTAGCACAAACATAGACATGGCTAGATTTTATTCAAGGGAAATTGGTACCTACTTGAGGGAAAAGTTGTCAACTACTAGACTTTTTTTAGGATGAAACATATCAACACTTTCAGATTTTTAAAATTCAAAGCTTCCAAAGTGTTGTAACATCCAGACAGGGTTTTATCTTTAAAAAGTAATTATAATGAAATACGGTTTCCTGGAACAAAAAGCATTCATTTAGAGTCATCTTTTTGAATATTGGTATGTGAGGAAAACACACACACTAGCAATTTTAGAACATCAACTTTTTAATTTAGAAGGAGTAATTAAGCAATTATTGGGGAGAAAAGACACACACATCACCGAGTCCCTCAATAGCACAGGAATCCGTGCTTCTGTCCGTGTGGCTTCTGGTGCCGTCAGCAGATGGAACTGAACTTACTTGATGTCACACAAAAGGGCCACTCCTCTCAGGATCCAGTGATCCGGGGACAACACTGTTCGCAAATACACCACAGTGATGAAGGTCAAGTCAGTTCGCCTGGGTTTCTTGTAAACAGGACATACATACAGCTTGGGGTCCTTGGGTGCCGTGGAGTTAATGGCAAAGATGTGCAACACAGGTAACAGTGTGAAGAGCACCTTGGGGGTGGATTCCGTGAGCTTTCCATTCCGTCTGTCCCAGGCTGCTCCATCCATGTATAGCCCATAAATATACACGCCTTCCTGGAAGGGTCAAGCATAAGGTAAGAGGATTTATTTTTCAAACTAGGTGCTACAAAATGGGTATGAGTGTAATAAAGGCTGTCAGTTTGGAAATAAAACACACACCAGTCTTAAAACACTACCAGAGGGAGAAAGCACCACCAGGCGCATTGCATTAGTAAAATACTGAGCCCAGTTTTCTCCTGCAGCCTGTGTTGAGGCTATGAGCACTGTAGAAATGTTCCTGTGTGTTATTAGTTATTTAAGTGTGAGGGTGGCGTGCTTAAGCATCAGACTTAGCCAGCAGCACCACATCACCTCTACAGGAAGGTGAAAGTCTCTGAAAGGTCTGGGTTGAGTTGGTGGAAGGTGGGAGCATGGAAGAGGATCTGGAGCTGGTGTCATGTGGGATCTCAGCCTGCCACTGGTCAAGCCAACCTGTGTCTCTACTTCATCTCAGTCACAGATGAAGTGAGGTTTTCACAGCCAGGCCCAGCTAGTGGGAGAGTCAGAGCGCCCCCAGAGGCCAGGCATGGTAGAGCCAGGGTAAGCATGGCAGGGGCATGGGTGGGGAGTGCTGCTTAGCAGCCAGCATCTGGCCACCCTCCCCAGTGTCTCTCTCATGCAATAGGCCCTGCCCTGGGGGTCCTCACCATTAAATCGGGAACATAAAATGCAAAGGTGCAGAAAAATTTGTAAAGTTATGAATTGAATAGCAGCACACACTTGCTACTGGGAGTGCCCAGTGAACTGTTCTGAGGGTGAGGGCAGTGACTTCTGAGGCAAGGTCTCTGTGGCTGGAGTGCTTAGGGGCCTCTGTAGAGGGGATGGCCTTATTTGAGACGCAGTCTCGCTCTGTCACCTAGCCTGGAGGGCAGTGGCAGGATCTCGGTTCACTGCAGCCTCCTCCTCCCGAGTTCAACCAATCTTCCCACCTCAGCCTCCCAAATAGCCTGGATTACAGGTGCCTGCCACAACATCCAGCTAATTTTTGCATTTTTAGTAGAGATGAGTTTCACCATGTTGACCAGGCTGGCTTCGAACTCCTGACCTCAAGTAGTCCTCCCAAAGCGCTGAGATTACAGACATGAGCCACTGTGCCTGGCCACAACTACCTTTAATAAGGTTGAATTATCATGTTAATTTTGCAGATGGGCCTTGATGGCCTTGAAGCAGGGGCTGCGTTTGGAAAGAGGAGAGAGCGTAGGCATCACAAGCAGGAATAACACTACAAAGAAAGGCAGGGCAGCTGGAAGAGCTCCAGTATCTCCTTTATCAGAGGACTCAATGGTTGTAAAATAAGGTAGGGCTTGACCATGGAAGGATCTGGGTGCTAGCTGAAAAGTTTAAACTGGATCCTGTAGGCAGTGGGTAGCCACAGAACGTGTATTCACTAAAAAAAGAGAGGCTGAAGGAGAATCACAGGGGAGGCTCCAACAATCATGCCAGCTCACCAAATAGTTAAATATAGAAGATGGTGACTATGTTTCCATTTCCGGTGAGGTTCGGACCAGACGAAGTAAATGTTCATGAATAAAAGACAGTGTGATTCGCTGCAGAGTGTTTTTTGGATCCCCCCCAGTGTGGGCTAACAGTGTAAGGACCGTATTTTTTTGGAACCCAAAACTGAGGCACATGGTTTGACAGTAAAGCCATGGGCAGTCTCAGAAAATCAGGACATATGGTTACCACCATTAACTCAGTGGGTGACAATGAACTACATGAATAATGGAGCCACTTAAAAGCCATCGTATGGTAAATTACATCCCTCTCCAGGGTGCGTTCAGCCTCCGAACCTTAAAAAGTCAGTGAGAAGGTATGGTAGATAGAATAGTGTCACCCAAAAATTCATGTCCACCCGGAACCTTGGAATGTAATTATTTGGAAATAGGGACTTTGCACACATTGTTTAGGTAAGGACATAGTGAATTAAGGTAGGTCCTAAATCCCATGTGACTGGTAACTTTATAAGAAGAGGAGGGGACACACACACACATATATATATATACACCTATAGAGACGAATGTGAGAATGGAGGTGGAGATTGGAATGATGAAGGAAAGCCAAAGATCCTCAGTAACCACCAGCAGCCAAGAGAGAGGCTTAGAACAAAATTCTGCCTTGGGGCCTCTAGCAGAATCCATCCCTACCCTGATTTGACTTCTGGCCTCCTAAGCAGTGAGACAATAGACCTCTGTTGTTTTTAGCCACCCAGGGTAATGCTACTTTCTTATGACAGCCTTTGGAACAGAACGCAGATTTTGATTCCAGGTAGCAGGATGCTGCGGTCACAAATGCCTAAAGATGTGGAAGGGATTCTGGTGTTGCATAATGGGGAGAGGCTGGAGGAATTCTGAAATTGCCTTGAAGAGATCGTTGGTAGGAATCTGGAGGTTAAGGTGCTTCTGGTGAGGCCTCAGCCAAGAATGAGGAAGACAATACAGGAAACTGAAGGAAAGGCGGCCCTCATTATAAGGTGGCAGGGAACTTGGCTAGAACTTGGAAATCATCTGGTCTAGCCCCCTTACTTGACAAATGAGAGAAAGGGAAAGAGAGACTGATTTATTGAGAGTCTACGTGGGGTCCAGCACCACGTGTAAATGATCAGATTTAAATCCTCACAACTCCCTTTTTAAACTATTTATTTATTTGAGGCAGAGTCTCTCTCTGTCACCCAGGCTGGAATGCAGTGGCAGGATCTCGGTTCACTGTAACCTCCGCCTCCTGAGTTCAAGTAATCCTCTCACCTCAGCATCCCGAGTAGCTGGGATTATAGTCACGCACCACCACACCTGGCTCATTTTTGTATTTTTAGTAGAGACAGGCTTTCACCATGTTGGCTAGGCTGGTCTGGAACTCCTGACCTCAAGTGATTACTCAGCCTCAGCCTCCCAAAGTGCTAGGATTACAGGTGTTAGCCACCATGCCTGGCCACAACTACCTTTAATAAAGTTGAATTATTATGCTCATTTTGCAAATGAAGACATTAGGGCTCAAAAAAGCCACAGAATTTGCCCACATTCATTGAGCAGATCAGTGTCCAGGCAGTGGGGGCTCTTCCCCCAGCCAGGTGCCTTTCCACTCGAAGCTTGAAGGGGACACCCCTGGAACTGTCCCTCAGCTTCAGCCTGCTAGTCCCCTTCATCTCTGCTGCCCTCAGCACTGCTCTGCTGCCTACAGTAGAATCTGTGAGTAGCCCACAGCAGTAACTGGAGATGTGTAGAAAAAGCCCCATTTATTCATTCATTCATTTATTGAGACAGAGTCTCACTTTGTCACCCAGGCTGGAGTCTGGTGGTGTGATCATTACTTACTGCAGCCTCAACCTCCTGGGCTCAAGCAATTGTCCCACCTCAGTCTCCCAAGTAGGTGGGACTACAGATGCATGCCACCAGTACTGGCTGATTTTTTTTTTTTTTTTTTTTTGGTAGAGACAGGATCTCCCTGTGTTGTCTAGGCTGATCTTGAACTCCTGGGCTCAAGTGATCCTCCTGCCTCAGCCTCCCAAGGTGCTGGGATTATAGGCATGAGCCACCACCACCTGGCCAAAAAGCCTTTCTAGCAAACACAAGTATAACTTGTAATGCTGTGGAAATGTGGTTTGAGTAGTTCCAAGAGCTTGTTAGACCTTGTCATTCATCCTCCACTCCGGCAGATGGGGGAGGCTTTGGCACTAAGATCCCCTGCTTATAATGGAGGGAACCCTCGCTGCAAAGCACATGGACCTAACCAAGGCACTCATAGCTCAGGTTTAAGCAGAACTTGAAACTTCAGCTCTGGCTCCAGAACGGTCCCTGATATTTTCCAGCAATGCCTACCCCAGGGGGTGACGTGATCTCCTCCTTGGTCTGTCGCAGAACTTCATTGTGGATGGTCACAGTGTCCAGTGCCCAGCCTTTGTGGGCACGGGTCACTTCTTGCCTCATCGCTGTGAGGAAGCCTTAAAGAAAAAAAGAAGGGATGTTGATACCTTGTTGCAATCCACTTTAAAAACAAGGAGGAAGCAATGTTAAGTGTTATTTGCTTATCAATCTCCAAACTACAGGCTCATCTCAAAAGGAGTTGAGGCCAAACCCCAGGGGAGACATTTCTCTCAGCGTTTGTTTCTGTGGGGACCTGCAATGAGCTAAATCTTTCTCGCCTGCTGACAGCAGGAAAGCAGCACCCTTTATGCTTCAGGCTGGGCCTTGGTTTGAAACTCTCCTGGGATTTCAGCTGCTCAAGTCTTAAAGGCTTTTAACCCAGTTCTAGCTCATAGTCTCTATTTGAAAATACAGTATCGGAGAATAAGATCGGAATGGTGAAATATTCTGAGAACAGCATTCCAATTAGACTTGAATCAAACCATTATCAAGCTTCTATTTGCTATAATGGAACAATTTCATTTAGTCTAGAGAAATAAGGCACAATGCCAAAATAGAAAACCTGACTTTCAATTCAACCAGACAAAGCAATCACCCTGGAAAAAAAAAAGCTACATGTTTTAATGTGCATAATACAGTGATTTTAAGACAATCTGCAGTTCTGTACATTGTGGCTTTTCTTTAAAGCTGATATTTGCAAACCATGCCATTCAATTCAATAAGATAAGCCTTTCTTGGAGAGTAACAATCGATGTTAGAAAAAAATATCCTAAACTTCAAAATGGACTTCAAAACCTTAAGAAAACATATTTGTGACCTACATATTTTATTTTGACCTTCCTGTAAATATTAAAAATCATAAAGTTCTCCAGTGAGAAAAATTTTGGAATGTGCATGTTCCTACTAGATTAGTGAGCTCGGAGAACCAAACCAGCACATACCAACGTATGCACAAAACAACACAAAGGTAATAACATTTTACTGGGTTTGAATGGGAGTGGGGGGAGGGGAGAGATGCAAGGCATAATTATAAGCACTGAGTCGAGATCTCCTGGAGTTGGAAAGAAAGAACAGGTCCTAGCCTGGCTTTACTGAGAGTCAAGTTCTCCCCATTATTAAATGAGACACTTGGAGAGGCACTCATATGGTCATGCTTTCACTCATCTCTCAAATCTTGCTGAAGTGGCCACCGTGTACCAAGTCCTGCACCATGTGGGATGACCACAGAGATGAAGAGGCCTTCCACGGGCCCCACATTCAAGAAGCTCAGCGGCTGGGTGTGATGGCGCATGCCTGTAAATCCCAGCACTTTGGGAGGCTGAGGTGGGCGGATCACAAGGTCAAGACATCGAGATCATCCTGGCCAACATGTTGAAACCCCCCCCCCATCTCTACTAAAAATAACAAAAATTAGCTGGGCATGGTGGTGGGCACCTGCAGTCCCAGCTACTAAAGAAGCTGAGGCAGGTGAATTGCCTGAACCCGGGAGGCAGAGGTTGCAGTGAATGGAGATAGTGCCACTGCACTCCAGCCTGGCAACAGAAATAAGAAGCTAAGTCTGGAGGGAATGTGGAAGGATGCTGGACATTGACACAACGTTGTCATCATGAACAAAGGCGTGAACAAAGTTAACTACTCAGGAATCAACTTAGGGAAAGCGTAATTGAGAAAATGATGTGGAAGGTGACTCTTGAGAGCTATATACGAGTTTGCCAGATGGGGCAATTCCAGGTAAGGAACAGCACATGCACCTACACGCATGGCTGGGAGAGGTTGCAGGTGGTGACAGCAGATAAGGTTAGAAAAAGACAGAGGAGTGATTTTTCAGGGTCAGAGTTTGGACTTGATTCTGTAGATAGACAGAAGCCACTGAAAACTTAAATGAAAGTTCACATCGTTTGGCTGTATTTCATCTTGAAAAGCTTACTCAGAGCGCCCCCGAAAATAGGATTTGGGGTGGCAAATAGGGGCTTTTGCATTAACCCAAAAGAAAGGTCGACCGACCAACCAAAGCAGCTGAGTGAAGGACTTTCATAGAAGATTCCTAAAAAGCTATCATTTCATGGAGCCGAGAGTGCCTAGTAGGAAAGACTGGTGTTATGATACCAAATGTTACGTACAGGAGGCCAGAAATGTAGCAGAAGTTTGCCTGGCAGCAATTGCTGCTGGTCAATGCCCGTGCTCTATGTGGAGTCACTTGAGGGGATTGGATCAGCATGCGATTATGTCGACTTCCTTTTTAAAATTATTTTAGAGACAGGGTCTTGCTATGTTACTGAGGCTAGTCTCAAACTCTTGGGCTCAAGTGATCCTCCCACCTTAGCCTCTTGAGTAGCTGGGATTACAGATGCTAGCTACTGTGCCAGGCAACTTCCATTTTAAACATTGAGGCTCCCACACTTTAGGAGTAAAACATTTTGTGTGTTTTTCAGTCAATGATATATATGGCCAAAATAATGAAACCAATTCTCCATTCTAAGGCACTCCATGAAAATATCATTTTCACCATTTAATTTAAGTATGCATCCATGTATTAAACACTGTATGTCCTAGTAGGGTTATGTAAACTTGGAATTAAATCAGTCCTCTTTTATGATACTTTAAGATTCATTACTGATCTATGAATCTACAAGGTCATAATATACAAGGCATGAATCCGGGTCTTAACCATTCATTTGCACAAGTTGAATAATTGAATTTTTCTATAACATTTAAAGTTCCAGCTAAACTGCAAATTTGACCTCACTCCTTGTGGCCCTCAAGACAATGTCATAGGTGCCAGAGAAGAATAGAGATGGATTCTAGCTTATGAAGCACACCTACTTCAAAGACTTCAGCCATCATCAGAGCTCTGAAAAACTCTATTGTGAATAAGAAGAGACTATTTCTTATCTTCACTCTAATGGGGAGAGGCACTTCCTAATGGGAATGATGTGGGCCAGCTGAACTTCAACCATAAACCTCCTAATGCTTAGGAGTGCCAGGAGGTGGACTCTAGAACATAATTATGTTACCTTGTACTATTAAGAAAGGAAAATGTTAAATATATTTGCAGCCTGAGAGTGAAGGATAGGAAATGTTAATAGGCCATTCCCATGTTCAGAGAACATAGAGAAGATACATATTTTTCAAGTCTCGATAGTTTTGTTTCTGCTTCCTAAAGAGACCATGATCCTTGTGGCACTCAAAGGGTAGTGAATCCAATGAGTTCTTCATTGAGTTTAAAAAAGGAGTGGCCATCTTTCTTGTAGACTGATAACAAGTCTAATGGAATGAAAAGATGGTTTTTTGAAGCCTCTATAATTTTTAAAGACTATTGATACATTTTTCTTTATAAGAACTGGAAATCACTACTTTTGTTTTGGCACAAGTTAGTTTTAATAATTCCTAAACCAAATTTTAATCATCAGTGGTGAAAAAAATGATTCATATGTTTGACTCCAAAGGGAGAAACCAAAAGTTGGGGAAAGTCTTCAATAATAGTAACCTTCTATTCTTCATGAGATTAAACCACCCACATGAAAATGGGCGAGTTGATTATTTAAACATCTGAGTTACGTGTGGTCTGAGTCAGATGCTTAAAAAAATTCTTCCCCCTCAAGCCGATAAAGCATAATGAATTCTTAAAACATTTGTCAAGCTTGTTCCTTTATAAAAAATCACACGTTTAAAACATGTATCTAAAATACAATTTATAAAATGCTTACTCTGCTGATTTCAGAGTCCACAGTACAGGGTGGCATGGGGGTTGGCATCTGCCCACTACATCAGCAGAGCAAGACTGCAGGGGTGTGGCCCTCCCATGCCCTTTTGTTCAGACACCCAAGGGGAACATGTGCGTCCCTGGGATCACATGACCAGAAAATAAGACCCCAGAGGTTTCTTGAGTCTACGCTTACCAGAGAAGCTGAGTGCAGCCATGCCAGCCCATGGCTGGCATGGGACAAGGCAGGATATGGCTGAACTGGGCAGGGCCCAGCTAGGCAGGGTAGAGCAGGCAGGTGGGCTCTGGAAGGGGCTGATGGTAGCAGACAGGGTATTGCCTCCTCCTGCCTGCAGGTAGGAAACACCCGGATTGAGTGGGCTGAGAAGGGTTGGTCACCAAGCCTGGACCCCAGCTCCCTCAGTTATAGGCTGATATCAGAGTAGTGCCTCATAGGAGGCAGTTAGCTGGAAGGTCTGAGGCCTGGTCCATGAGGTCAGGGAGGAGCTGGGGGAAGAGGACAGTACTGTAAAGGCAGATAAAAAGGTAGCAGCATCAGGTTTCTGGCCCCCATCCACCTGGGGTTTTCCAACCCAAAGCCTGCAGTCTACTTTAGAAAGAGAAGAAAAGCACTTAATGAAAGTTATAGACAACTACCCCCCACTACCTCCTACACACAAAATCCAAATTGTTTTCTCATCTCCCCCCGGCTTCTTCCCAATACAATACAGTTTCCTGTTTTCTTTTCTTTCTTTCTAAAAATTCCCTTTTAAGCTAGGATTGTACTTTGGAAACTCAGGTCTAAAGTAACACTTGTTCTGTGTTCATTCCTATAATAGTAGAAATCCAACCGTTCAACACACTCATGGCTGTTGTTTGACTTGTGCAATCAGCTGGCTTAAGGAAAGCTGAAGAGTGCTTTATCATTTCATATAAGGTCTTAGAAAAGAAGAAAGAAATAGCTAATCAGGAAGATTGCTCTTCTCAAATTTATAAGGAGTTGTTTGGTATTCTGCAATGATTTATACTAAAAATAAGCAACGTTTTCTTTTCTTTAATAAATGAACTGGTCCTTATGCAATAGGCCTAAGGCTGTGCAGTATTTCCTGTCTAATCAGTTACTAAGCTTGCCAGTAGCATCTTTGAAGATGAGGAGAAATGATGTTCCTGCCACGAGTTTACGACAGGCAGTTTTTCCCCCAAATGAGAAGCAAATGTAGTTCATTGGTAAATTAAACCAAAGGTCAGAAATCATTAAACGAAGATAGGTTTGGTCAACCCAGTTGAATAAAAATGCACCAAGCACCTTTCCTGGTTCTTTGCTGTAAGGCAGGAACCTTAAACTGCTGAAAATCAGAGACAACCAGGGATCAT